TGGCCGTCCTCATCCCCTTTGTCTTCCCCTCCTCTACCACTTGTGTCCCCCCAGCCCTGAAACTCTCCTTGCAAAATCCTCTTACTGCAGCTCCCTCGATCCGCTCTGCCTCGTTAGGAATAACGAGGTCATTACTGGGGGATTAATGAGCTGGTGCTTGGCAGTGCTTTGAAGGTGCCAGGTTCCCACCGGGACTGAGGGCTGCTGAGGGCCCCCGCGGCTCCCTGGGGGCTCCACAGGGCCGGGTTGCAGCAGGGTCTGGGCAGTTGGGGTGCTGGCACCCCAAAAGCTGGGATGGGTGCCCTGGACAGGGTGGAGTGTCTAAAAGCTGCTGTACCTGGGGGTGGGGGGTTGCAGGTAAGGTGGGTGAGTGACAGAGCCTGTGCCCACGTCCCTTGGAGTCTCCGTGGGGCAGGGGGTGCTGCTTGGGAGGTCTTGGTGCCTCAGTTTCTCTGAGTAGGAGGAGGTCACTGCCACTGAGTGACAGGGCAGTGTAGAGGCGGGTTAAAGGGGGAACAGGTGTGGGGTGGAAAAGGACTCTGGAGCGCCCGAGGGCTGAGCTGAAATGTGGTGCCCTTGCTGAAAGGGTCCCTAGCCCCCTCCTTGTGAGTGGGGGTGGCCTCCTTGCACCCCTTCCCCAGCACCTGCCACCAAGGGTCCCCAGGGCCCATCCCTGTCCCATCCCCAGGGAAGTGATTGCAGCCGCACTGTGAGATGGGGGGGTTCTCTCCATGGGCCCCCAGGGGAGCTGGTCCTTTTGTGACCCCCACCCTTGGTGCCCCTGTTCAAGAAATCCTCATCGTCGCCCACGTTTCCAGTCCCCCACGTCCCAAAAGCAGCATGGATCAGTGCAGAGGCACCTGGTCTCTGCAAGCAGCACCATGCCTCTGTGCTGACCCTGCCTCTGCTGTTCACTCTGAAGCCTAATGATGGTGTAAACACCAGGGCATTAGTTAATTCATTGCCACCAAAGGCCAGCTCCATCGGGGACAAGTCTGCCCTGCAGCCTGCGCCCTGCTCAGTGCCTGTCACCAGGATGCTCGTGGGGGGGCTTTGCAGCACTGTTTGGGTCAGAGGACTGAAATCTGGTGTTCTGGGGTCTGTTTCGCTTCCCTCCACCTGGCAGTGGGGCAGAGCTGGAGGGAGAGCTGGTGGGTTCCCAGCACACCCCGTTGGGCTGTGGCGTGTGTGTGCCAGCTCGTGTGCAGTGTTCCCCCTTCCTGCCTTGGGACCCCCGTGGAGCCACCGCAGAAGGGGACAGGACTAACCTCCTGCCAAAGCGGACTTTGCTTTCAGACTCCTCCAGCCCGAGGGACAGAGAAATCCTCTGTGGCTGCGGGGTGAGGAACCAGGGACCCACCTTCCTCCAGACCCCACCTTCCTCCTCCTCACCT